GACCACTTTGCGAAAGAGAGGAAGATTCCCATAAACTTGAAATATATTGGTAGTTGAAAATGCATGTTTCAGATAATATTGACTTCGGTGAATTGTTTCTTCTGACGTGATCTTGTTTAATTAAAGCATTTCACTTCATCTTCTGGCAGATCCGACATACATGATTCGTGCTGTTCCGAGTAACGCATCTGACAATGTTTATTGCACACTTCTTGCCCAAAGTGCCGTGCATGGAGCAATGGCAGGGTACACTGGCTTCACAAGTGGTCTTGTTAATGGCAGACATACTTACATACCCTTCTATGTGAGTTCTTAATCATAAGTTGAGAGATTTAATTCTGCAAATTCATATAGAAAACCCATTTCATTAATCATTTTACATACTTTAAAAGTATCCGGTTATTTGAAAATTTGTTCTCTTAAAAAATCTCACATTAACTATATATTATAAAGAAGCATGTAAATGATATTAGAGCCTAACCTTTATCCATATAGGATAGTATTAATCTAACATTCATAACAGATTTGCATGTGAGCTGACATGCTGAGTGTGAGAAAATTTCATATTAAGTGTGTAACAAAAAAATATGTGGATTTTAATATAAGATTTGCATCGAATTTAAAATTAATTAATAATAAATGAAGAAAATTTTTTTTATGTTTAAATCATATATTATATACTAAACGAAAATTTTTTTCACTTGACATGCCACTCACATAAAAACTTATTAAGAAATTTTATCAGGTGATTTAATATACCTTTACATGAAGACCCGCAGAATTTCTTCTCTTCTTTATGCTGATTTTATACATTCCTATTTCGTATGCCTTTCCAGACTTGTCTAAAACAGTACATTCTCCTGACATAAGATTTTAAAGTAATATATTCTTTGTTATGGATTTTGATTGTTCAATGGTTTACTTGCAGCGAATCATCGAGAAACAGCACAAGGTTGTGATCACTGATAGGATGTGGGCAAGGCTTCTGTCCTCTACAAACCAACCAAGTTTCTTGAGAGCGCAAGATGTTGAAGAGAAAAAGGACGAGCAACCATCGACCCAGCTATTGGACAATGGCTACCGTACAGATGATAATTAAGCTAAAAAAGAGATGAGTTAGCTGAAGCAGTGACTCTGCTCAGCTGTTTTAGTTCTGCCATTTCTTAGACTGCAAGTTAGAATAGTGATGCAGCTTGAATGTTTTCTTGCTGTGCTTATATGAGGTTTGATGGTATTAGTTCTGCCTCAATAATAATAATGAAACCTAAAGGAGAAACTTAAATGAATTTCAAATCATTAATCGTTTGTTCGGAAATATGATTTTAATACAGTATATTTAAATTTTAATTCCTCATATTTAATATATTTATTTTTTTTATTTAAATAAAATATTATTAAATTAAAGTAATATATATATATATTTTTAAACAAATTGTCAAAATACAGATTTCATGGAAAAAAAAGAGTAAACTACCAATTGACATTAAGAATCAAGTGCGAAGTAAAATATATTTATTTTACCCTATATATTTGAAAGACATAAAAACAATATATTTCAAATTCATCTTTAAATCCAGGGATTTCAATTTCAAATTTTACATTTTCTCTGCACACCGACGATGACGTGACTACACAGACTTCTGCAACCTGTCCTGCACAGACTACAAAAGATCATGGAACTCTGGCTTTTGTAGTTTATGCAAAATCGATTATAACTAAAAATAAAATACCAAAAAATACATATACAAAAAAAATAAAAAAATTAATTTTTAATTTAAATTGTAAAACAATATTTTTTTTAAATATGAGTGACCAATTACTGTTTCGGTGTATTTCTTGATGTGAAACTCGATTTGCATGCCCACCTGCTCTCTTTTGAGAAGTCAGATTTGCTCTTTGTGTGCATGCTGTAGCCACTGTCTCCTGAAATCGCCATCGATGACAAAGAAATTCAGGTTGCTCAGGTAATTAAATGATTAATTAACCAATCAAGATTTAATTTCACATTTTATATACTACTAAAAATAAAATTAGAGGGCACTATAAACTGTACATACTTTTTTTTTAATAAAATCACACACCTACTTAATCAGTAAGGCGCATGTTTTCCATTTTGGAGCAATGTGAGAAAAAAAAAGAAAAAAGAGAGGAAAATTTTGATTAAATTTGAGTTATATTAATTAATATATTTGTACAGTGGATGGGTCTTAATGAATTCATGGGCGAAGCATATTTCCAAGAAGATCTATGTGGAGAAAAATTACAGAAGTTTGTACGGCAGCGTTTGAAGATCGATACCATGGATTTGCTGCTCAAGAGTTGAACTCAAAACTGGAAGGAAGACTTTCCTACATTTACTTCAAAGGTTCAGACATAGTTCTTTGTTAATGTTAACTAAGCTGATTAAAAGGGAGTAGAGATCGGTGTCTTCCATAATGTCTTTGTAATAAAAATACTAATAAGCTTGATTGTCTTGAAATCGATTTTCATTTTTTTTTTTTCTGCTAGCTGCTTTTGTTTAGATTTTTCTTCTTAATTTCATTGAACCAAAAAACAAAAAAAATTACTCTCCTTCCCTTTACTTCCCCTCAAACCAAACAAGTGCTAAAAGTATGTAAAAAAGAAAAGAAAAAAAAAAGTGTATAAGTAACAGTTAAGACAAAGGCTGATCAGCCACAATTAAGGGGTTAAATTGAGGGCTTGTGCGCAAAATGAGGGAAGTTTAGAGGTTAACATGGTATTTTACATAAATAAATTCTTTTTTAATTATTTAATTATTATAAGAGAAATTTTTTCATACAATAAGATACTATATTAACAGTATCTTTGTTTATTAATTTAGTAACACATTAGCATGTGTGACCTTCATTTGTAATTAAAAGGATTAATTATTCATTAATTATCAAATGATAAGTAAAAATACACATATTGACATATTACTACATTAATAGATAGACTGTTAGCATAGTATTCCAATGTACAAAAGAATTTCCCCTCACGGGCCTGGGCTGTTACCTATCAATAATATAGTAACTCGTAGAGTTTAGACTAGGGGTGAGCATGGATAGGTATGGTCAGGTATTTGCCTATACCTATACTATACTTGAATGGTGACAGGTACAAGATTTTAATACTCAATACTTACCTAAATATTGAAAATTTATACTCATTACCTAATTTATTGGGTATAGGTGTACCTACAGGTAAACTTATATACCTGTTAAATTTTATACTAAAAATACATAAGTTAATATATAACTATAGTCAACGGCTTAGGTAACTCAATAGTAATCTCTTTTCATTAGAAGTAAGAGATCCTGAATTCGAGTTGTATGATATGC